TCTAATATGCTGATTTATTATCAGTGCTGGAAACTGTTGTGCTGCTTAATATTTTTTTGGAATCTGTGTGATACTTTTTTCAGGATTCTTTGATGAATAAAAAGTTAAAAAGAACAGCATTTATTCAAAATATAAATCTTTTCTAACAATATAAATCTTTGCGATCACTTCTTAACGATTTAACACATCCTTGCTGAATAAAAGTTTTAATTTCTTTCAAAAAAAAAAAAGAATAAAAATTTACTGACCCCAAACTTTTGAACGGTAGTGTATATTGTTAGAAAAGATTTCTAACTATATATATATAAAGATATTCATAACAACTCGCCCAATAAAAATGTGACAACTTGCCCCAAACATAGATTAATGCTACATTTTCCTAAAAACAGTTCACACCCACAAACTTACTAAATATGGATATACTAGTTATAAATACTATAACCTAATCATAACCCACACACTAACCCTAACAGAAAGTTTTATGCACTTTTAAAATAATTAAATTTTTATTTTTTTTTAATTTTAATTTAATAAAACACAATTTAAAAAAAATTATCTACTTCATTTTTATACCATTTTTTTTACAAACAAAGACCTCCCCAAAACTAACCAGGTGCTGTAATGTAAATGTGGGCGGAGTCAGAGTGCTCAATAAGCCCCGCCCCCGCTCACCTGGTACAGTGAAGTCCTGAGTGTATATGATGTCATCCTCTCCATCGAACAGCTCGTCCTCCTCCTCAGCGTAACCGTGGAGATCCTCCAGGTACGGCACCACCGTCATGCTGCGCCACGGGTCGCGCGTCTCTGCGCTGGGCGGGATGGGCACGGGAGGCTCCGAGGGCGGGTGTTTCTTACGCACCCAGCTAAACAGGAAGAGGAAATGACCCGAGAGACCGATCGTGATGACATCATCTGAAGCAGAGTTATTAGAGTTTACTAAAACCAGAAGAAACCTTTTTCATTATTTAAAATAAAATCTAATTTAACAATTAAAATACAATATATCTGTGAGACCCTGCAGCACAAAGGTATATTTGTAGCAATAGCCAACAATACATTGTATGGGTCAAAATTATACATTTTTCTTTTATGCCAAAAATCATTAGGATATTAAGTAAAGATCATGTTCCATGAAGATATTTTGTAAATGTCCTACCGTAAATATATCAAAACTTAATTTTTGATTAGTAATATGCATTGCTAAGAACTTCATTTGAACAACTTTAAAGATGATTTTCTCAATATTTAGATTTTTTTGCACCCTCAGATTCCAGATTTTCAAATAGTTGTATCTCAGCCAAATATTGTTCTATCCTAACAAACCATACATCAATGGAAAGATTATTTATTCAGCTTTCAGATGATGTATAAATCTCAATTTCAAAAAATTGACCCTTATGACTGGTTTTGTGCTCCAGGGTCACAAATACAAAAAAACTTGTCTAATATTTCTCATTTTCATTTAGTTTCACACGATGCACTAAAATAACTAAAATTAAAAAAATCTAAACTATATAATAAAAAACTAATAAAAATAAATAAATACTAAAACTAACAAAAGTTAAAATGAAAACCGAAAACAATGAATTCAAATTCTCATTTTCAAAGAATATAAGTACAAAGTAATTATGTAAGATCAATTGATATTAATACAGTAAAAATAGTGAAATATTATTAGAATGTCAAACAGCTGCTCGAGAGAGCGTGTGCGTGTGTGTGTGTGTGTGTGTGAGAGTGTTCATTCATGAATGTTTGCTCTGAGCTTGAGATCCAGCATCAGTGCTGAACATCAACGCCATCTAAAGGTCAAACCTATGAACTACAGCACAGCAATGAAAAACAATGCTGATTGTGCACAATAAGATACAAGACATTTCATTAAGTAAATGGGCTCAATTTTAATTTCATGTCTTTAACTTGAACTCAGGATGCATTTACTCTATAGACATTAATGTATATTATACTATATATAATAGACCAATTTCAGTGTTTGCAAACAGTGATGACATTTTTGTGGGCGGAGCCTATCTGGTGGCAGAAAATGTCAGTTTTAACATAGCAGTCTATTCAAACCATGGAATAAAAGAAAGAAAAAAAAAAGGTAATTTTGAGTTTATATTTCAAAATGCAAACTTTTTTCTTTAAATTCCAAGATTATATCTCACAATTCTGGTAAGAAAAATCAACTCGTCATTCTCTCTTTTTCCCTCGGCTCAGAATCATGAGTTTATAATCCAACACTTTGGCTTTTTTCCATCAGAATTGACAAACTCGCAATTGTTGAGTTGAATCAAGTTATAAAGTTCGAACTAGGAGAAAAAAGTCAGAATTGTGAGATAAAATAGGTAAATGTTATGTAAAATGTTCTAGGAGTAATTTCCTACTGTAAATATATCAAAACTTAATTTTTGATTAGTAATATGCATTGCTAAGAACTTCATTTGAACAACTTTAAAGATGATTTTCTCAATATTTAGATTTTTTTGCACCCTCAGATTCCAGATTTTCAAATAGTTGTATCTCAGCCAAATATTGTCCTATCCTAACAAACCATACATCAATGGAAAGCTATTTATTCAGCTTTCAGATGATGCATAAATCTCAATTTTAAAAAAATTGACCCTTATGACTGGTTTTGTGGTTTAGGGTCACAAATGTCCCCTATGTGCATGTTATATAGACCTATTGTTTAACTCAAATTTATGCTTTAAAAGTAGGGTAATCATAGCAGGTTTCATTCATAGTTTGTCCATTTAAACGTCTGCGTTTAGCTTCAAATGGCGTCTTTGACAACAGTATTATCTAAAAATGATTTGCATTCTGACATCCAAAAGCACAACTCCTCATATCGTTGGATATCGTCCCATCAGCCAGTGCTAAAGCTGGCACTCAGGATCACAGTCAGGCTTTCGGTGAAGCTGCTCTGAAAGCGTGTGCAGCGTGCAAAGCTCTACACTAATAAATCTGACTACATGTTGAAGTCAAACGAGCTCTGTGGTTTCTCACCTCTCAGCAGGTCTGAAAGCAGCGGGCCGCACTCCTCAGGAACAGTGTAGTCGCCCTTCCCAATGTTCTCGAATAGCTTATAGATGTTGTCCCCTTCAAACGGGTACAGGCTCGTGGTTATGTTGTATCTGTGAGGAGAGACACACAGCTCTCAGCTTAAAGCCCAGCAGAAAACACAGTCAGAGGAAGCAAGTGTTCGATATAGCGCACGATATAGGCACGTGCTATGAGTGACTGAGTGCTGTGTCTGCCTGTGATGAGGAGATTGTGAGTAAAAAATAAATTAATATTAGTCGAATTTAAAATAAACATTTGCAATGTTAGGTCTGCGTCAGTGGCGCGCGAGATGCGGTGATGATGATGTAAGTGACGTTGTTGCATTTTAATGTTTTGTTCGTCTAGCCCACGAGACGCGCCGCTGCTGCGTTATTCATTCAAAATATAGAGAAATATAGAAGCTCAATGCGGAGAAGATGTTGAATAGTTAAAACCGAAACCAAGCCATTCACACAGAACGTTTTTTAGACGGACAAATATGACTGCTGCGTGTCTCACAGAAGAGATGTATAGAAAGCCATGCCATGTTAAAACAGTTTCAACTTTTAGAAAAAACGGCGCAAATTTGTGGAGGTTTATTCCTTTTCACTGCGTCTCTTATGTTTTTAAATGCAGTCTGTGTGATCGGCGCTTCGGTTCTTTGGATTAAGCAATGCATAAATAAGTGATGCTGTTTTGTTCATAATTGTATATGCAATTTACGAAATTATATTGGATTTTTGAGTTAATTTAGACGTTTTTTTATTGAGTTATTTCCTTGCGTTGACAACTTAATGCGCTGCATTATTTTGCTCATTGCGCCCTCCTGTGGCCTCGGGAGACAAGACAAAAGTTTCCTTAAAACCTATTTAATCTGCATATAAAACATTAGAAATTAGATATTTGTTTAATTGTTATTTTGTGTTTGATTGTTAAAACAAAAAATATTTGTTGTTTGTCTCAATAAATTTTTTGTGTTTGATTGTTAAAACAAAAAATATTTGTTGTTTGTCTCAAAAAATTAGTTTAATTTAAAAATACAGTGGTTAAAAAAAAAAAAAAAATTCTGTTGCTCTGTTTTAAAAAGGTTATAAAAAATGTCAATAATTATCGATACTGAACGATATGAAACATTGTATCGTTGATACATTTTTTAGCTATATCGCCCAGCCCTACGTTGAAGACAGACGTGTTGTGATCTAAAAGCTTGTTAATCGATCTTATCTGCTTTGGTTGAACCCATCTGTTCACTTTAATTCAACTTACACTACACCAAAGGTTTCTGCTTCTTAATGTGTTTTAAAGAAGTCTCTTCTGCTCACCAAGCCTGCGTTTATTTGATCAGAAATACAGCAAAAGCAGTAAAATTGTGAAATATTTTTACTATTTAAAATAACTGCTTTCCATTTGAATATATTTTAAAATATAATGTATTTCTGTGATCAAAGCTGTATTTCCAGCATCATTACTCCAGTCTTCAGTGTCACATGATCTTCAGAAATCATTCTAATATGCTGATTTGCTGCTCAAGAAACATTTCTGATTATTATCAATGTTGAAAAGAGCCGAGTAGAATTTTTTCAGGTTTCTTTGATGAATAGAAAGTTCAGAAGATCAGCATTTATCTGAAATAGATTACTATAGATATAATACTTGTGCATCATTTTAATTCAGATTTTTCAGTGAAATAAAGTTGTTCCGAGAGGTTAATCACAATGGACAACACAGATTGGAGAATTAATTTTTCTATTGTGAATTTATTCAGAAGTTTTGGTCTAATTTAACACTGTCTACGGCTGATTTATTCTTTTTAAATTTAACAGATATTATTTGTTAGTGTACTAATATAATACCCTTAATAATGTCTTTATTTTGTTTGGTAAACAGAATGTTTGGGCTCACGTCCTACTCTCACATTTTTTTGACTGAGGTAGACTCACTTCTCAAATATTTTTCTAGAATTAGAAAAATTTTAAAAAACTATAATTTTGACCCATACAATGTATTGTTGGCTATTGCTACAAATATACCCCAGCGACTTAACACTGCTTTTGTGCTCCAGGAACACATATCAGGATTTACACGGTTAATCACTTAAATGAGCTCAGGGTGCTGATTGAACACAGACGGCCGTCTCACCTCCGCTACACCCAAGTCAGAGATCTTCAGCGCCCCGTCTGTAGTGAGCAGCAAATTCCCTGGTTTAATATCTTTGTGTACAATTCCCTGGCTGTGCAAGTATTCAAGACCATCCAGAAGCTGGCAAAAGTACCTGAGAGAGACACGGGAAGAACAACGGAGACACAAACGTGTGACTGATGTGTGAAAGACCAGCTGAAGCTCAGCAACTCTGAAAAACACTTGTCAGTAATGCATCCCGATGTAACACTCTCAAACTCTGAGGATTAAGCATGTACCTGTTTCTTTAGACTTAACCCTGTCAGTGATTTCAGTTCTTAAACATGTTAAGAGTCTGAAAAACAAACTGCAGGTCTAATTCTTAAGCTCAGTTAAAACAGACTCCATCTACATCAAGATGCCAAACACAAATCTACATACACATTATATCTGTGAGAAATAAAAACAAATGTCAAAAGGCTAAAAATAGACATTATGGAAATTTTACAAACCCATCAGAGCGGCTGATAGCGACGCACAGAGCCTCAGGGGTTAGTCACTAGTTTTCAGTGACGAGTGTGTGTGTGTGTGTGTGTGTGTGTGAGAGAGTGTGCGTGTGTGAGAGTGTGTGAGAGAGTGTGTGTGTGTGCGCGTTTTTGTGACAAATGAGGACATAAA